AGTAAAATCATAATGTTTTTTTAATAGAAAATATGTTCAGGTACAGTGCGGCTGTCCTATGGTAAAAGAAATTTTACATTTACCAGAGGAATCGTAACTAAAAATTAAATGTTTTTTTAAAATTTCCGGTGTTATTCTTTTAGTCAAATAATTTCTTCTACTTATTGAGTAACAATTTAATGACAAATTGTTTTTAATATATATTTGTCAAATCAAAAACAAAGTATATATTTTTACTTTAGTTTTTCAAAATTAAAGATTATCTAATAAATCTAACAAGAATTTGCTTATTAGAAAAAAATAACTTAACAAGTAATAGGATTAATAGTTAGACAGAGAGGGGTATTAAGATTGTGTTCTGGAGGGCCCAGGTTGCCTTAGTATAATAAGATTTTAGATTACTATAGGTATCAACATACAATAAAATTTCATCGGAACAATTTTAACATTTTTATTGAATGAATCAACTCGAATTGATGTGACTCGAATAGGGAATATGCACATTTTTGAAAAGTAGTTTTATATGATAATTAACATCGATATATAACTGTAAAAAAACTCGGCACCGAAAAACTAAAATTTTATAACATTAATCATTGATGAATATAAGTAATAGCTACGAGTAGTTTAAACACCGGAATTTTTGGCGCGCTCGTTGTGACGTCAAAGTACATGACTAGAGATATGACATTTTAAATCAATATGGATTTTGAGTGATTGATTATTATTCAAATACCCAAATCGATTAACAACTTATCGATTTTTTAAAATATAATAGACTTTTTAATAAATCATATAATGTACCAAATTGGTGAAATAAAAATAAAAGCCTAAAACATCATTGAAATTGTAATCTGTTGTTTATTTGCGACTTAATACTTTGATGTTATTGCATCGATGTTAACTTTTTGTAACAACGACATCCCTATACGTGTACATTTTCGTCACATCCGCTCTGACAAGTAGCATGGCGTTCAAATATTTTGAAGTTACCGCATGTATTTTAATAATTATTTTCAAATCGAAAACGAACAAATTTTGAAAAACATTTAGATAGACTTTATTCTAAAGCAATAACGATTGCAATAACGATTGTAATAAAAAATTATTAACCCTTTTTTGAATCAGACGCATATTCCCTATTGACGGATTCATCTTGAAAATTCCCTCCGGCGACGAATACAAAAGCCTTAACTCGGTAAGATGACACAGGTCTTTTAATAACGTAGTTTCTTTTAACTTTTGATTATCTAACTCTAGTAAATACTTTTTCCATGATCATTTAGAGTAGAATACAGATACAAGTATAATTCATGTTGAAAACCATGAATACACCAATAAATTATAATTGATTGTAAGATTGCGTTATTGGTAAGCAAGGTTTAGCATTGGAGTAGTTTTACGCTGAGACATCGGTATTAGACTAAATTCATATTTTTAAACAGAGACTTAGCAAAGGTTAACCTAGTACGAGGTTCTTCGGGAGTAATATTTACTCCTAGAAGTTAGTAGGTTTGTTTATTCTCTGTATAATATGAATTTGGATTAATACAAAAATTGCAATTTTAGCGTAAACTTACTCTGACGCTAAACCTTGTTTTTAATAGCACTGCTATTGTTTAGACAAAACGCATGAAAAGCAAACGATAAAAATGAATGAATTTCATGTGAATTAGTTTATGAACGGCTCTTGAAGTCATCTGGCTGAAGACTAAGCAATGGACATTCACAAATATGCAAACAGAAGTGACAGTGGATCTGCCACATCTGTGGATCGACAAGAGGGAGAGAAGACAGGTTCTCAAATGAAGACTAGGGCTCTGCAAAATTACCAAGTTGTAAGTACGTACAAGATGGACTGACGACTTCAGAAGCGAGGCCGGCAGAGGATGAATGAAGATAGGATTGTGTTTATTTGTATACCTCAGGGGAGACTTGGCACCCAATTGCACAAACGTCCATTAGGTCTAGCTGGAAATCGGCATCGGTCTGTTTCTGAAAAGTAAACAGACCGACAAATACCGAGCTAGTTACCTATTTGGTGAAATCATGGGATCCCGGCAAAATGCCACGGGCCCCCAGCTGGAAGTGGATCCCGGTCAAAGGAGACTCCTTACTCCTGAGTCCTGACATATATTATTACGCAATAAGTAAAACAATATGAATATCCGACAGATTTGCCACGGGCCTCAAACGGTATAGTAACGCCACTAGATACAATATTATATTAATGTTGATTATCCTATTGTTTGTGATTGCACGTTTAATCTAATGTTTATTCTATTATGTAGTAATGTGATTAATTAATATAGTTAAGTGCATATGCGCATGCGCCGAATAAATGAATTCGAATTTGAATCAAAATTGTCGTTAGTTTAAAGCGACATTATCGATTCCTTTGTGCAACTTTGTGTAGATAAGTGAAGTTAGTTGATATGGGGCCGTCGATTAATAACGTGAGGCTCGAAAGAGGGGGAGGGATTCGTCAAAAATCACGAAATATCACAAGGGGGTGGGGGGGTGTAGTAATATATCACGGATATTTATTTTTTATGCGATTATTAAACCGAAAAGCAACGTTAAAAATTAAGTTTTTTTTTAAATACACGTGATTTGATTGAACGAGGGAGGGGGCAGTTTTAAACCTCACTATGTATCACCAAGGGGGAGGGGGGATCAAAAAATGTTAAATAAAAATATCACGTGATTAATGGACGGCCTCTATGATGAGTCATTTTGTAACAAAGCTCTGATATGAGCAATTTGGCAATAATCATCTCTGTTGCGTCGATGCTAACGCGTCGAGTAGGTATCCCTGGTTGAATGTCATTTGACATAATGGGTATCCAAAAGTTTTTTTTTAAACACAAAAAAGGAACTAAGTAGTTTATCATGAAAACGATTCATGGAATTGCCATTACAGGGAGTACTTAGCCGTCCTCGAGAACAATAGGTCAAATGAGGACGCTGTGGTAAATATTTGGACATTATTTGAAGAAATAAATTTAAAAACAGTGTCTTTTAGAAATAAATAAACATTAAACTGATCAACTGCTTCCTCAAAAGTTCCTTTTACGGTTCCGTGCCCACAGCAGAAAACGGGAACCCTTATTAAGACTTCGCCGTCTGTCTGTCTTTGTTTTTACACATGATGTATTTCTATTGCCACTATAAAATACGACAATACATTGAGTTGAAATATCGCATGACATCACACCTTTCTACATTTTCTACATAGTCGTGACGTAGCAAACCCCCACTCCTCAACTTGAATTCCTATTATCGAAGCTATTTCTATTTTTAAGCAAAAAAATTCGTATCCATTAATTTTCTATTTCTGTCTGTCGGACCAAATAGATTTCTTTTTTTTTTACTCAGGCATCTCTGTTAGTGATGATCTGTCACAATGTTTGCGCGAGTAATTTAATGAAATTACAGGGTGCGTTCCGAAAGCAAAAATAAAGCCAAACAATATATCTCTTAAACTATTAATGAAGTTAAGCAATCCATTAATGAAGTAAATAGTCCTTAAAAACAAAGTTTATTGAAATATAAATGCAATAAGAAAGTGTCATTTAATTACTTTATTTTTCCTTTGACATTTCATTACTTTGTTTTTGCGTAAATAAATTGATAATTTAGTATTTTTTTACAATTGGAAAAATGTAGTAATGTTATTTTCTTTTTTTAAGCTAAATTTAAGTCTCAATAAAAAAACATTTTTACCAATGAAAACAAAGTGAATTAATTCCAAATTTTGTTTCATTCAAAAAATGGCTACAGTTAGGTACTGTTTTTGCTGATAGTTAATCACTAAAACTAAAGGACTTTTGATGGTTTCAAGAATGTAGTAATATCCGATTTTATCTGAAAATCCAAAAAAATAAATAAAAACACCGCTTTTGAAAAAATGTTAGTTACTTTCTTTTTCCGTAGAGCAGCCGAGTGTTAAATACATCAAAAGTAACACAAATAACCGATAAGAAATATTTTGTGAATAAATCCAATTCTCATCTCGAAGTACCTACTGAGGAATGTGGAAAGTTGTGGATAAATTAAAAAAAAAATAATTTAATTTCCTGTGTGCTGCATACTATTAGGTTTCTTTTCTAAACTGCTCTTAAAAACATTGTTATTGCTAGTTGTAACTTTTGCAATCGAGAAATTTATTCGATTTTTTTTGGGTTCAAGATCTAGTAATTGAAGGATGGTTTTGTGTTGATATAATGTATGAGAAATAGGTAAGCTATTAATTTATAACTACAACAGTAAGTATAACATACATACTTCAACTCTCTCCTTTGTTTATTAGATCAGTAGTAAAATCTACATCATTTTCAAAAGTAATATTTGAGTCAGGCCAAAGAAAGAGTTTATCGAGAAACAAGGTTCGTTCAAATATTATTACAATTATTCACGCCAAGTATACGTTAAGGGGTTTGCTTTTTGAGGTGCTCTGTAGTGTTGTTTATAGATGTTGTCCCACATCTGCACACGGTCTGTTAGCAATGAACCACGTAAATCTATCGTCTGTCCCAAAGACATGTGAGGCGATGCGTTCTCCCCCGTTGGTGGCCACGATGGCAGAGAGGAACCTTCTGGAACAGGTGCTCTGGGAACAAATGAGTTTTTATTTTACTCAACCTTTACCAATTTACTTATTGAAACAAAATAAAATACATCGCAATCTGTCTGAACAAACGAAAACCAAAAAATTATGGAATTGATTTTCATGCGACTTCTATCATAGCAAAGAGTAAATAAATGACTAAGTAAATGATTTTTAAGATGTTCTGTGAATCATTCAAATAATGACAATGATTAGTCATTGACAATGCTGGCTGCTTTATATATTTTAATAAATTGTACATATGTACGATGTCTGTGTAATTTGATAAAAATGATTACAAAATACTAAATTTGACTTTTCCAAATATTGGTATGTTTTATTTGTATCAGTAAGCAATTAGCCTAAACTATAAAATCATCTTTTTTAAAACTTACCCTTTTTTAATAAAGTTGCTCCACAATTGTCTTATAACAGCTTTATGTTTCTTATAGTTTTCAGGTAAAAAGTTTTCGGTGATATTACTCGATAAAAGTCCATCAAACACAGCAAAAGATTGTGCGACATGATTCGCTCCCTTCACTTCAGTATGTGGAATAACTGGTGTCAATTCATCAACATAATTATATTGATATAGATAAACCTTATTTCCAGCTCTCACGTGATACTGAACAGCTTTTAGTGCAGGGTGTGTGAAAATAACATCCGTGAAATAATCTACATAAGAAAGTATGGTGTCATCACCAATTGTCTTATTCCCAAAATAAAATTCTTTGATTTCTTTAGCGATTTTCTCTTTCTCTTCCTTATTTTTGAATTGGAGATCACGGGGAAGGAATTCTGAAAAATTCTTATTCATGTCATTTTTCCACAGATCGAATATGGCGATTTGCAATAAACCTTCTCTATCAGTAAAACCCACAAGTAAAGGAAGTTTTTCATAATTACCACTTTTTAAAATATTATACGGACTATCAGCTAGGAAAATTTCTTCTCCTACATCACCTTCTACGCACGGTGAAAATAACGACGAATCTTTTACGAAAGAAAAACCATCACTTGTTAGAATTTCGAAAGAAGCATTCTTATAAAATTCTTCTAAAGCATAAGCATCATCAATGTGCCCTACGTATCTTTTCGCAAATTGTCTAGCGTTATCGAGAGGATCTGTTTGAACAGCAAGCGATGCTAGAGCAGAACCACTTTCGGCAATCACTTTTTTGAACAATCCCTTTGCTAAAGACGACAACATTAGTAGCTCCACTGATCCCGAGCCAGCACTGTATCCTGATATAGTGACATCATTGGAGTTCCCTCCGAATTTAGCTATGTTGTTTTGCACCCACCGAAGTAACGCCACTTGGTCCTTCATACCGGCATTACCAGGTGCGTTAGGAGTACCCAAACATAAAAATCCAAGTATACCAAGGCGGTAGTTGAACGTTACGACGATAATGTTATGACTTTTAACTAAATGCTTCGGCTTGAGCAGGTTGCCACTTCCAACCTGGAAACTTCCTCCGTGAACTACAACTAATACTGGCAAATTCTTTTCCGACGTATCCGGTACATATACGTTTGCAATTAAACAATTTTGCTGCATGTCAAAATTTTTATAGAATGGTTCATATAGAGGAACAGTAGCTTGAAGACATATTATTCTATCATTGTCTGCATCAAAAGGAGTCAGCCATGATGGTCCTGGAAGTGGAGCCTGAAAAAAAACACATATAGTCATCATATATTTTTCTATTATAACGATGTAGATACATTAAGTTTGTCAATATAAACTGTCACTTAGAAATGAAAAGCTATCACAAGCTGTCGCTAAGTCCAATTGAGTATATTAATATCATCCAAATTAGTAAACACGAGGCTCCAAGGTCATAATGTAATGATAAAATAACAAGTACAGTCGGGTTAAGCACCTTATTTGCGTTCCAAACTAAACCAACCGGTTTTATACATCCTCTATAGTTATTCTCTTTACTTAGTAAGTACTTGAATAAATTATACTTAACTACCTAGTTATTTTTTTTTTAATTTTTAGTTAAATTAAAGATAATGCATTAATAACAATTGATTCCAGGCAATTGATCTTTTGTATCTACTGTTTTTTGCTTACAAGTTTTGTTTTGTTTTGTTATGATTTGTCTATATTTGATCATTTCCAATATTATTGATTTACCTGAAGCAAAAAATAGGTATTATATAGGAAATGATACAAACTTCAATTATCAAGTTACTGAATATTTTGTCTTCTCATTACATTATTATGGAATTTTTAATGCCCCAAAAAAACGCATAAAAGCTATGTGACCCAAATGGCTTAAAAATATACTTCATTTTCACCAAAAAAATAATAGACTTTGCGAAGACAAATAAATAAATTTGAATTTGAATCTGAAGAACCCGAAATGCCGTAGACATGTGTTTCTAATGGACAAGGGTGCAAGTTGAAAATCGTCTTTAGCTGAGATGTGTTGAATGATTTTTAATAATAGACCGCATAAACTTATTGGATATTAAAAATCTGGAGTATAAAATGGCATAATTTTAATTAACTTATCGCTAACATGATTAACTTATTCCTACAAACTTTATCCACTATTTTAATTCTCTCAACCTATTTTCTTTTTCGAGGTAACCACTATCCCTGAAAAAAATGCCTGTACGCCTTAATAATAATATTAATAGGGATATTTGGTTACTTATATTATGTTTATTAGCTTTCCGCGCCAGTGGATATCAAAGGTTCTAACACCTATTTACTTCCCATTAAGGGTGAAAATCGTTTAATTGCGCACTTCTATGTTATAATAAGATTATTGTGTTAGGTCGATCCGTCCAGTAGTTTGAGCTGTGCGTTGAAAGATCTGTCAGTTACCTTTGATTTTGTAAGATATAGGGAAAAAGTAATAAGTGCTTGAAAAATTCGTCAGTCCTGTTAGGTCCACGGTAGCTCAGTGGTTAGAGCAGTCGTCCGGATTGCGAAAGGTCATGGGTTTGAGTGCCAGGTGCAAAGTGGATTTTTCAAGCATTTTTCATTAAGAATACTTTTCATTATAGCATTGTAAAAGCAAAATTGATCAAATATAAAAATAAAGTTATTGTCACAATAAAATAAAGAATATTGTACAAAATCACACATATTGATCATATTATGCTAAATAAAGTAGTTAAAGCAATTGAAATATGGAAATCTAAAACAACCCAGATGCGAGACAACAACTTTATGGACAGACTTTATGGAGAATCGAATCCGGGACCTCAGAGATGGCGACACTTTAAAAAACGGCTTGCAAACCACGCGGCTATGAATATTTTAATAATTACCTTGTATCTGTCTGGTCCTGTAGGAGCAGTCGCGTAGGGGATACCGAAGAAGGTGTAAACGCCATGTTCAGGGTCTTTGTAGCCTCTCACGGGACCTTGTGAGATTTGTACTATTCTGGTCTCCCGTTCCTCACACAGTAGTGTACTCCATAACGCAGCGCAGAATAAAATAACAAACCATTTAATCATGATCACCTCGTGGTCGCATAATTGCCACTGAATGAAACCCGTGAACTTTATTTATTTATAATGTCTCCCACTGTAAAACCGGTTTAATAGCAGCATGCCATCACGTCTTTTTATACTGGGATTAACTATGGTATGCGATACTATATTTTTTTTTCTAAAGTTAGAGTATTAATTTAATGTAAAATAATTATCAAAATGATAGTTTAACTTTATTGATATCGTTTTTGTTCCGGAGCTTTTAAAGTTCAACGAACTGCCCTACCGCTTATCTAAAAGCCACAGTCCAAGCATTAGGTGTACGTATAAGAAGGTTTCATTGTTTTTCTCAATGACTTAATATTCTTTTTTTGTGTATTTGTTTTTATTATATACTTATTTCCTCAATGAGTTTGTTACATTTAGATTTCTCAATCACATTAAAGACGTCTAAAAATTGTAACAGTGCGTCATATCACCGTTTATTTCGTCCTAGGTTTCCGCATGCAAACTTTTTTGTCTTTGATCTTCAACTTCATTTATTTTTATTATTCACTTTTCGAAATTTGAAATTTTGAGTAATCCAATTTTTTATACTTTATAGGTTAACGCTTGACTACGATCCTACCTCCATGGTAAGTGGTGATGAAGCCTTGGGTGGTAGTATAGCGCATTAACCTAGTAACAGCCTATTCACTCTTGATTTGAATATGCTCTTTATGAAGTTATTTCGTGAAAATTCGTCAAGTTAGAAGCATTATACATACTTAATTTCAAACAATAGCTATTTGTTGTAAAAAATTTGTTAAAATCTATTTATTATTACCTGTTTCCGTTATGCTCACGAGTTTTGTCTTTATACTATATCAAATCAAATATAATAAAGTTAAATCACTCCCCAAACCGGAAGAAAAGGGGTATGCAATTGTTCTTTTTAACTATTTTACCATTATTATTTAGGTAACTATACGAATTGTTTTATATTCCTCTTTTGTTTGTTACAATTTTTTTACCCTTCATTAAATCAAGTTCTTAAGCTTAATCAGCTTTTTATTCATTTGCTTAAGAATCGAACCCCCCACAAGACGACAGCCGTTAATGACCCAGGGGTGCGACCGCCGATCTTATGGACCTAGCCGATCTAATTCACTGATTGAGCGAAAAACAAATGTAATGGTTAATTTAATAAGTCTTCACAAAATAAAAACAATCTCACATTAACTCGGGAATAAAGATGAGTTATAAGCACAGACGAAGGGTTGTAAATTAATGTAACGAAAATCATCATTTTTATGACACGTATTAAGGTAGACGATTTGATGGAATAGAGTTGATGATGATGCTAGGCATCTCAAAACAAGTGCGAGTCGGACTAGCGCACGAAGGGTTCCGTATCGAAAATCACGTATGTTATATGGGAGCCCCCTTAAATATTTATTTATTCTGTTTTTTCATATTTTTTTGTTATAGCGACAACAGAAATACAATGTATGTATTAGTAATAGAGTTTCCGGTTTGGTACGGAACTCAAAAAAGAGAAATTCTATTTAGCCTGTCAGTCAGATAATAGAAAAAAAAAATTGATACGTATTTTTACAAGAAATTGTAAAATTAGGCATTAAAATTTAAAAAGTAGTAAAGCTATTAAGAAAATGTGTGATTACGCGAAAAATAAATAATCTACCTGACGGACCCACTGAAATATAGTTTAAACGGTTAAATTTCAAATAAATGAGGACAATCTCCAAAAAAGCTATTGACATTTCGCCAAAGAGAACCATAAAAAGTACTTATATGGGAGACTTCTATCTTAGAAAAATTGTCCTCTAGAGATGCGACCCTCATCATCTACTCTTCCGCAACGCAACGGCCAGCGAACTTGCGCTTAGGGACGGCCAAAATGTTTTGTGGAATAAGCCAAAGCGTGTATTCCATATAATTCTCTTTAAAGGTATTTTACAGTAACCCATTTCAGTTATTATCTTAACACGTTACAAGCAGTAATGATGTTTTCATTTATGCAGTATCAGGTGTTTTAGACCTGGTCATAAAACACATTGTGCTGTACCAGGTTAATTTGACCTAGTAACTGGATTTTTTTTGGCTTGAATTTTATCGATAATTGATTGACATTTATCTGGAGGCAGCGTACATACGTCAAAAGATGAAAATATAAATGATTATCTCGCTCTAGTTGGTTCTTCTTTACTGATAATCCTGGTATGATGTGATTTTTAGTCTATAGCTGTAATAGAATATCGACTCAATCGCAATAATAATAATTAACTGTAGAAAATATACATTTAATGATTTACTCAAAGCATGCAGTTGGTTAGACCAAAATTAATAAATAAAATAACAGTGTTTGAGATAAATCTTAATTTTTACAATTCTGTATGAGGTGGCGGTGGCGGTGGTACCGGCAATCGGTAATGTTTCTCGTAAATACTACTCCAGAAAGCCATACGGTCCTGCAGGAGTGCACCACGTAGTTCCACAGTGCTACCGAGTAACATATGCGGAGAACCACTTGCTTCAACACCAGGCCACTTTGGTAACGTCGATCCGGGTGGAACTGGGTTGCTGCAACAGAATATGTAATCAAAACCTCTACTAATTAGAATAGGGTAGTTTCGGTAGTGAAAAATGATTTTGAGTCTTAAAATAGTACGAATATCTTATTATCTTAAAATCGTGATTTTTCTGTCTCTGAGTCACGTGATTTAAAATACGTCCCGCCATTGTGTGACGTCACTGTGGCGACAAAGCAACCAGGTTAGACTAAAGCTATACTTATTAATTATAAATCAAATTCCTAGAAAACTGTTCTCAACTTATTTATATCTTTTTATTTCGTAATCGATCGTAGGATGGAATTGTTCTTATTACATTAACATCTTTTGATTTCATTTTAAGGCAATAAAACGTTTATCATCATCATCAGCCCTTTTGCGTCCTCACAGCAGGTGCTCAGGCCTTCCTTATGGATGGATGGTATACTCTCCACGCTGGCCCGATCCGGATTGGAGGGTATTAACAACTGCAAATGCAGCCGAGACCAACGGCTAAACGTGCCTTTCGAAGCATGGAGTTGCTCGAGATAACAAAGTAGAATACCCTATTCCATTTTATTCATGACAACGTGCCGATTGAGTTAGTGTATAAAGAAAGGCTTTGCTCTGATTTTGGAAACATTCTTATACCAAGAAGTTGTGATTATAACCACCCGAACTCAATAGTGCACTTGTGACATACCGCATATATAAAAAAGGCTATTTTCCAAAATAAATGACGCCGTGATCATTATTTTGTGCAGTGTAGTTTCGTGTGGGCAATCAACCACAGTCACAGCTCTTTTCGGGTTGTGTGCAAGTTCATCTCGTGCTTATAACCGTAGAGATATATAAATCAGTGCATATACGCATGAATTGCTAATTTTGATTGTTGTATAAGTTGATCGATATAGCTAATAACGGGGCCTTCCTGAATATGGGCAAGCCAGGGGACAGGGCAGACCAAATCAGTTCCGGATATATAAAACCGATTCTATTATGCCAGATTGGTTCCATGTCCGAAAAAAATCGAGTAACGAAGTTCTAACCAAATTACTTATTTATGTAATAACCTAATGCTGTAGAAATATTTTAATAACTTACCCAGTTATTATGAAATTACTCCATATATCTCTTAACAAGTTCTTCACATTTAAATATTCTTTAGACAAATTTGTTTCGTTTGCATTAAACCATCCAGATCCATCCATCACGGCTAAAGTTTGACTGCAATGATCAGCTCCTCTCACATTATTTGTGTATGGTATAACTGGCATAGATTCATCTACATAGTCGTATTCATATAAATAAACTTTGTCGTGGCCAGCTTCAGCATGTAGTTTAGCGGCTCTTATAATAGGAAAAGCGAAAATAGTGTCCGTAAAATAATCAATGTACGACAAGATATTATTTCCACTCACAGCTTTATCATTAAAATAAAATTTCTTAATCTGTTTTATAACTCCTTCTTTCTCATCTTCAGTTTTAAATGTCAAATCTGCTGGAAGGAAATCAGCGAAATTTTCATTCATTTTATCTTTCCATACTTCGAACAAAGGCAGACGAAACAATCCTTCCATTTTAGCTAAACCATAAAGTAGAGGGATTTTTTTGTATTTACCCCGTTTTAAAATATTGTATGGGCTATCAGTGAGAACACTGTCTGATCCCACTTTTCGTTCTATGCATGGGGTAAAGATAAAAGTGTTGTCAGTTTTGTTAAGAAACACTTTTTCTGTTAAAACATCATGCGAAGCAGTCTTATAAAAGTTTTCCAGTGCATAAAAATCATCTACACCCTCGAAACCTACAGACTTCGCATAACTCTTAGCATTTTCGATAGGATCCAACTGTATAGTAAACGGTGCTACATTTGCTCCACTTTCCGGTATCACTTTATTGAATAGTCCCATCGCAGATGGCGAAAGCATTAATAAATCAACAGATGCAGACCCAGCACTATAACCAGCTAGAGTGACGTCTTCTGGATTTCCACCGTAACTCGCTATATTTTTATTTACCCACCTAAGTAATGCAATTTGGTCTTTTAAACCAGCGTTTCCAGGAATATCGTCTGTACCGAGACATAAAAATCCATGTGCACCTAAACGGTAATTAAATGTAACTGCTATAATTTCTTTGGTCTTCACTAGATTTTTAGGGACTGCGAAATCTAAATAACCGCGTATGAATGCACCACCATGTACGTATACTACGACTGGTAGTTTCTTTTTGTTTGTGTCTGGTACATAAACATTCGCAATCAAACAATTCTCTTGCATATTTTTGTTCTCCATCCAGTCCTCTTTATACTGTGGACATATCACACCTTTATCGACTGCGTCAAATGTTTGAAGCCAAGCAGAAGGAGGATATGGGGCCTAAAAAAAAACAAATATTAGGTAGTAAGAAGGATTATACAACATCATTAAGTTATCGAATGTGTAATATCGATTATATGATATCAGTAAAGATAAATTATTAAATTATACTATTTAGAATGTTACTCTTTCAATAAAATATTTATAAAATTTTAAAGTATTTATCGCTAAAGTGTCTCTGTATATTCTCGACTTCTTTAAAGCAAATTTCAAAGTGTAATACCTCTACCTCATATAGGTATATTATATAATTAAACAGGTACTTGACTTAATGATAATAATAACGATAAACCTACACTATCTGTGAATTGCTAACTAATGATATCTGTGGGGTCTCATATTATATATAAATATTTATTTATTCAAACTCAATTAATTAATTAACATTTTCGAAAACAATAAAAACTTATAAACTAGCTCATTCTAAGTAAATTAAAATATATATATATTAACGTTATATATATATATATATATATATATATATTAACATTATCAGTCAAGACAATTATATGTATGATATATACATTACTATATTAAAATCATAAAAAATATTATCAGACCGAAGCTTATTACAAAACGCATAGCATTAACCACATGCTAAATGTACCTACTAGCTACGCCATCCTATTGTTCGCTTGTTTTTTGCAACAATACCTATGTATAGTGATGCCTATTAAAAACAAGTTATAGGGAATATGCGTCTGATTAAAAAAAGGGTTAAATATATTTTATTACAATCGTTATTGCTTGAGAATAAAGTCTATCTAAATATTTTTCAAAATTAGTTCGTTTTCGTTTTGAAAATAATTATTAAAAAGTGCAAAATAAATGCGGTAACTTCAAAATATTTCAACGCCATGCTACTTGTCAGAGCGGATGTGACGAAAATGTACACGTATAGGGATGTCGTTGTTACAAAAGGTTAACATCGATGCAATAACATCAATGTATTATTTCGCAAAATAAACAACTGATTACAATTTAAATGATGTTTTAGCTTTTTATTTCACCAATTTGGTAAATTATATGATTTATTAAAAAAGTCTATTATACTTTAAAAAATCGATTAGATGTTAATCGATTTGGGTAATTGAATAATAATCAATCACTCAAAATCCATATTGATTTAAAATGTCATATCTCTAGTCGTGTACTTTGACGTCACGACGAGCGCGCCAAAAATTCCGGTGTTTAAACTGCTCGTAGCTATTACTTATTTTCATCAATGATTAATGTTACAAAATTTTAGTTTTTCGGGGGGTAGACATGAATAAAACTGATTTAAGAATTATTGCTGTGTTAAATTCTTTCGCATTAATCCAACCAAATGAAACATGGTGACAGCGGTAAAACGTACATAAAATCATATGGTAAAATAAGAAGTACATATGGCTAAAGAAGACTATGAAGCTCTCAAAACAGCATGGTCAAGATGGAAATAAAATGAATTCTCCAGAGGCATTTAGTTTTGTTCCAGAAGACTGGTTTAAATATAAGACAAGATTCGAGCGATACATGAGTTTGTCGGGAAATAACGTTTTAGAAGATAAAAATAAAATAGACTGCCTAATATATTGCATTGGCGAAAAAGCAGAAAATATATTATTACAGTTTAACAAAAAACTTACGTACAACGAGTTGTTGACAAAATTTTACGATATTTTTCTTCGAAAAAGAATGTCATTTATGAATAATTCAAATTTAATGCTCGTATACAAAAGGAAGAAAGGTTCGACGAATTTTTAACGGATTTATACAAACTAGCCGAGCATTGTGAGCATGGGAACCTAAAAGAAGAGCTTATCAGGGATAGAATAGTCATACAAATAAAGAATAAAGCGGTTAGTGACAGAATGTTACTAAAAAATGATCTTACACTAAAAGAGGCATCGGTCATTGCCAAACAAGCAGAAATACAGGAAGAAGAAAGTAAAGGAATCATCACTATGAGGAAATAGAAATCAATAAAATGGCAGTAAAAAGCAGTAATAGGATGAAACAATCAAAGAAAAAATGTTGGTTTTGTGGATTGGAGCGTCACCCAAGAGAGAGGTGTCCTGCTTTAATAAATCTCTTGTCACAAATATCATCGAATGGAACATTTTGCAAATCAGTGCAGATCTAGAATAACAAGTAAGAAAAGTCTCCGAAGATAATTGTAGTAAAGAGTGAGGTTACTTTTTGTGAAAAGAAAGATATGTGTATGATAAAAGTATATGTAAACAAAGGTAATGTTTTTGTTGATAACTTGAACTTTCTAATTGATACAGGAGCAGACATAAGCGTAATACCAGAAAATTTAGCTACATATCTTAAACTTCCTTTGATTTGCTGTAATGGTTCTGTAAAGGGACCAGATGGCACTAAGCTGATGGTTTCAGGTACAATTTTTCTCAATTTAAAATATAAGCATTGCGAATATGAATGCAAAGGACTGAGTTCAGCAATATTAGGTAGACCTTCTATTGATAGTATGAATATTATATCAATATGTGCAATGTCATATATTAAGGAATCTGATTTATTCACTTAAGGTTATATATAAAGTATAGAAAGAAAATTTCCAAAGGTATTTGATAATTTAGGATTTTTCAAAGATGAGTTTAACATTAAATTAAAAGCAAATCCGCAGCCTTACGTACATGCTACACCTAGAAATATTTCAATTCCTTTGTTGCCTAAAGTAAAAGAAGAATAAGATAGATCACATAAATTAGGAATCATTAGTCCTATTGAGGAATCAGCAAAGTTAATACTCTAGTTAATACTCTAGCTAAATTAAAAGGAACTAAATATTTTCCAAAAATTGATGCCACTGATGAAAGCCTACATCAAATAAAGCTAAGCGAGGCTTCTAAACAGCTTATAACTATCATTACACCCTTTGGCAGATATATATATATATGAAAGATTACCTTTTGGTTTAAACTGTGCTTCAGAATATTTTTGTATGAAGTTTGTGAATTTGTTTAAAGATCTTAATGTTGCAATACATATTGACGATATCTTAATATTTGGACCTACAAAAAAATGCATGATTTAACTTTAATGGAAGTATTAAAAAGATTACAAAGGGAAGGAATAAGTATTAACAAAAGAAAATATGTTTTCGGGGTTAAAGAAACCAAGTATTTAGGTATATTATTAATCTTCTAATCACCATCTTCTAAGAAAGAATTACTGCAATTCTTAGGTATGGTAAATTTTGTAGGCAGATTTATTCCAAATAAGTCCCACATATTACAGCCTTTGCATTCATTGCTTCAAGAAGATAGAATGTATGTATGGGGTTTACCACAACAGAAAGCTTTTCTGGACATAAAAAGTAAACTCACTGAGTCACTAGAATTGGCACATTATGATCCCTCTTCGAAAATAATAGTTTCAGCTGACAGTAGTTCTTATGGCCTAGATTCAGCGTTTATGCATGGAAAATAATGAAGGGTATAGGTCCATAGTAATATATGCCAGTAGAACTCTATCTCAATCAGAAAGACATTATGCACAAATTGAAAAAGAATGTTAAGCATTGTCATGGGCTGCATAAAAATTTAGATATTATATAGTGGCAATTCAGGTTATCTTAGAAACAGAACACAAACCTCTGTTGCAGATATTGGAAACTAAGCCTTTAGATGATCTTAGTCCACGGCTTCTGAGATTTAGATTAAAACTTATGGGATATGATTATGTAATTCAATATACACCTGGTAAAGATTTATCTGTAGAAGATGCTTTATCTAGGCAACCTTTACCATCAAACAAAATGTCTCAAGATGAAAAAGAAAGACAGTTCAATTTAAAAATGCTTGTAAATGAAACTGTAACCGATGAGATGATTCCTGAATTAAAATTTGACCAAAGCCGTGATTATGTTTGTTGTAATCTAAAAAAATCCATTTCTAAAGGTTACCCACCAAAAAATAAATTAAAAGAATGGTCATGCTTATGCGAGAGCTGTTTGAGCTCATACCTTGCTTCATCTTACTTTAGCAACAATAATATCCAAAGAGTTTGTTATCGATAATGAGATGGATGAGAATCTTAAAAATACAATTGAACTTGTAATAAACAGGACTATTTTCTACAATGATATTGAAGGTGGTGATGAAAGAGCTGAAGCATTAGTTTGTCAGTTCAATGAAAAAGTTAAGGAGTATGGAGAACGAGGACCTACAGCCAAACTATGGATACAGTATTTTCATATGGTGTCTATAGCAAAGGAATTAATAAGAGCTGAACGTATGGGAGATTGGCAAGCTCATTTGAATTGCTTGAAAAAAATACTTCCTTATCTGCATGCATCAGGTCATTTTAATTATGCCAAGTCTGCACATTTATATCTACAAGATATAATGCAATAAGAGAACTCAATGGATTCTAGTATTCATCGAAGATTTATTGAAGGATTTTTTACTATTAGACGCTCTAATAAATTAAATTGTGTAACTTCGACGGATATGATGATTGAGCAAACTTTGATGAAGTCTATAAAGATATATGGAGGTGTTGCTCGAGGAAGAGGTACACAAGAGAGTGCCATTAGTAAATGGGTTTATGGTATGCATACTATGAATACGGTGTGTGAAGGATTGGAAAATCTCGCTAATGTTAAAATGGATACAACAGACCAGCATGTGGATGCAAGCGATTCACGTGTAAAGAGAGATTTTGAAGATATTCGTAAACTTGTAGAGTGGTTCTTATCACATGATCCTTTCCTTATGGTTCAAAAAATTATGTCCATTGCCAGTGGAGTCGTCGGCGATAGTACAAATAATTGTCATAATGCTCGTGCACTGGGGCTTGCTTCTATAACCAAAATGACTAGCTAAACATTTGATAATATTAAATTAAAACACGCTGATAGAGTACTCTCTCTTTTAAGTGTGCGTAGCGTTATAAAAGTACATGATAAAATGGTACCTATAGACCCTGTATTATTATTTCAACGCATGAGTATTACTAAGACATTTAAAGATGAACATGAAAAATTTTTCGAATATGAATTAGCTCCTTATCCATTATCACTCTTCGATGCAGTAGGAATGCGTAAAACTACGAAGTCAGCTCTGTGTAATTTATTCGAATCTGTAAACATTGAAATCGAGAACACAAATGCTATCTACATCATCGATGGAGGCTATCTACTACACCATGTGGTATGGGATCGAGATGAAACATTTCGTATTATTTTTGAGAAATATGTTCACTATCTACAAAGGCATTTTGGTCATAATATTACAATTGTATTTGATGGTTATACTGATCATAAGAAAAATATTAAAGCTGCAGAACAACGTCGTCGAACTACAAAAACATCTTCATCTGTTGATATCGTTTTTGATCGATTTTGTAACAACAATTTCTCGCAAATACTCATAATAAGTCTCGCTTCATTTCAATGCTATGGTAAGAGTTTATAGCTGCTGGTATTTCAATAAAACAAGCTGATAACGATGCTGATGTCCTTATAATTGAAACAGCAACAGAACAATTAAAAAGACCAAATACAACTGTTGTCATTGGTGAAGATACTGATTTATTGATACTAATGACTGCACGGACTCCAATCGATAAAATTATTTACTTTTTGAAATCTGGGAAAGCTCAAGTACAATCAACAATATATTCATCACTAAGTCTAACTGCATATCCAAAATGTCAAACTCATATTTTATTTTTACATGCAATAACTGGTTTCGATACTATATCAGCCATTTTTAATAGTGGTAGAAAAACTGCATTTAAATTGTTCGAAAAACGTAATGATTTATTTGATTGTGCAAAATTATCTACAAAGATTAACTCCTCTCCACATGACATCGTAACTAATGAAATTCGTTTTCTTCTCGCTATGTATGGTGCTCCAAAAAAAATTAATTCTATAGACAAATATAGATATTTAAGTTTTGTGAAATCAGCATGGAACAATAAAATAAACCTGCTTCTGCTTTTCAACATTTGTATCGTGTGTATTATCAAGTTCAAGTATGGCTAGGCAAGGACTTCCAGTCAGAGCTAGTGAGATCCAGAAGAATGGGGTTGGGAATTAAATAATGATTTTTTGGAGCCAATCAAAATCTTACTCTCGCCTGCTCCAGAAAAACTACTCAGTACTATTTTTTGTAGCTGCAAAACGAATTGTAGTAAGAATTGTGGCTGTAGAAAAGTGGAATTATTTTGTTCATCTGTATGTATCAATTGCCAGGGTCAGACTTGTTCCAATATTGAATCAGATACAGCAGATGAAAATACTTATGACATTGATGAAGAGTCAACTGATCCATCTCTTTTCTTAGAACAATGTACTGAAACTCAGCAAGAAGAAGAAGAAGAAAATGAAGATGAAGAAGAATAAAATGAAAATTAACAAATAATTGTTGAAGTAGAATTAGAGAATTATCTAAATTACTAACATTTATAAAAAAATAAATAATAAAAAATCATCCTGTACCACTTTGAACATTAACAATATTGCCATTCTGTTAAACAATAGGATACCATCTGTATAATAATCAAAATTTTTTCATCATACTATATTGTGGAGTATGCCTACTGGGGAAACCACGCTAAAAAAATGCGCCAAGTACGTTATCTCATAGGTGGTGCGGATATGTGTGCATATTATGAAGGATATAAGTTTTTTAACTTTTAAAATCGCGATATCTCGCGAATGGTGATTCGTACGAAAAAAATATTGAGACAATTGTCGTAGAGAATTGTATGATCTACAACTTTTATCTAACCTATTTTTACGATAATACTTCCGGTTTCAGAGAAAAATGGGAAAAGCCGGAATTTGCGACAACGTCTATACCAATTTTCAGCTCTATGCGAATTTTTCCTAACTGAAATGTTAATTTGACTGGACTAAAAGGTGAACTAACTAAAAAGCTACGTCACTATTCTTTGTGTAGGTCCAAATATTTAATATTGGTTGTTGTACCAAAAAAACCTGTCTAGAGCGAACGACCCCTTTTTACTTAATTTTCTTTAAAGAGTGAAGTTTTCGAGTTATTCGGTGTTTTAGGTGTTTTATATAAAAATACATTTTTTATGAAATATCGAGTAAGTTAATCTTGCGCTTTTAATAAGTAAAATCTTTTAAGCCAAATACTGTAGTAAATACTCAATAATTGTGAGAAATTAGAATAATTTGAGTAGCCGATATGAACTAATATTTCAAGGTCTCTCAGAAATATTTTTATGGAGGTATAAATAATAATAAAATAATAATACTATCAATTAAATAATACTTACATTAAACTTTTGCGGTCCAGTAGGTGCAGTGGCATATGGTATCCCGTAGAAAATGAATATGTCGTCTTCATTTTCTTTAAAGCCTCTAACTGGACCTTGGGGACTTTTAACAACGCGTTCTACACGTCCTTCTGAACTCACAGTCACGATACATGCTACAAACAATAAACATAGACTTGTCCACATCCTGCCTCTAACACTGAATTAACGTCTATGAAACGCTACGTTCATATGATAACTCCTTTACTATCACAATAATTCTATTTTTAAATCTTTTGGCTGTAATTGTTTTATACCAGCGCATAAAACGATACGAGCACAGTAGTTTTATTGAATTTATGATAAGATACAATTTTATACCGCTTTTTACAGTTTTTATGTGACTTTTAAAAAAATATAATAATATCGTATTTTTCCGGTTTGAAACAACTGTATTAAATAAATTATTTACTTGAGTTAAACAGAGTAGGTATATAAATTCAGGGACGTTCATAGATTTGGGGTAGGATAAGTAGCATGTACTACTTGATGTTTGTACTGAAAAAAAGCTTACCAATTTTTAGTATAGTTTCAGTTCAGCATAGTTTGACTATACGGCTTGGCCTGGTCAGGATGATGATCATCTGATATGTGTTGGTCAACATAAATATCGATATAAGTTACCGAAAAATTATTTCGTTTTATCGAAATAGTATAAACAGTCAGCGGCCTACATACCGTTTGGTATAAATCTGAACAACCCCTCATTTTTATAAATTAATTCAACGTGCCTATCATTTTTATAATATTTAATTCAGTAAAACATCTTCGCAAAAATGACAAGGTTGTTTTAAAAGTTCTTTTAACTCAAATGTCAGAATTCCGAACGAGGAAGTATATAAAAAAACATTAGGTTTCGAAATCAAACTAGATGTCGCTACGGTACTTTCATGATTTCTCCATAACAACCCTTCCGGTTTTCTTTCATGGAAATTAGTTTTCAAAACTTAATAGACAACCCATATTCTATTTGTATTTTTTCGTATTTGTACTGATGATGATGAATATGTTAGTTAAAAGGAACGAAAATTAATATCTTTGGTCCATTCGTTTCCTGCAAAAATCAAATTTTGCTAGAGTCGCCATCTAGTAGAGATACTTATTAGTGCTTTCCTTTTTTAAATACTCCCTCATCGTTAATAACGTTTCATGGAATAAGTGAAGTGAGTTTCGAAATCACTTTTGTTTCGTATTTTTATACAAAAAAAATGGATCAATAGAATTTATACACTAAATGACGTGAAATCGGACACATGAATGAATTCTAATTCGGGTTCGGATTTTTACGGAATCGCTCTTCAGGTTGCGATAAGCAGCGCCTTCGTAATACATGAATGAATTTTATAGGTAACAAATATTTACTACGTACAACACGAATTTTGACCTGCCTTGTTAGTATAGCGAATAAGCAGTAAGAAGTGCAGCTTACGACCGCATTAGTGGTGACGACGCCAGTGTAGCGTTCGGTTGAGAATATTCTGCTAACTAGAATGTAATAGAAGTTCTGTCTAATTTTGATAGATGGCACTTTTACTAGTTTGACCAAATCATGATCATGAGTTCCTGAATGAATACTCGTAACAAGTTATAGTATGAGTATATAAGAATGAATTAAACAAAATAAGTGCTATTAATAAACAAGGTTTATCGTCAGAGAAAATTTACGCTAAAATTGCAATTTTAGTTTAAGTCCAAATGTATATTATTCAGAGAATAAGCAAACCCACTACCTTCAAAGAGTAAATATTAATCCCGAAGAACCTCGTACTAGGTTAACCTTTGCTAAGTCTCTGATTAATAATATGAATATGAATTTTGACCTATACTAAGTGCAGTGTCAGCGTAAATTTACTCCAACGCTAAACCTTGTTTATGAATAAGACTGTATAGGTTTAGTTCGGTTTTATGGATAGGGTATGCAGTGCTTATTAGCAATGAACCTACGACACAGACTTCCCGAAGAGGCCCGAGAGCTTGATGTTTCTGCACTATAATTGACCATTAAATGATTAATTATAACTATTATGTATGTTTATTTTATGCTTTTCTTTTATATTTTATTCGATTATATTTTTATAGTGTTTCTCTGTCTTTTTAAAGTGTCTATTTTTGTCATTTGCCCTTAAATGTTCATTAACAATTATAATATCGATTTGATAATTATAAATACACTCATGTAAGTTTATTAAATAAATATTTATCGATTCCTTTCAACCCATTCCGTCTCTTTTAGTATAAAGAATCTAGGATTGTATACCATTCAATATAAAGGATTCTAGTGGCAAGCGTAAGTAGGTCTTAAGTCTCTTATATAAATTGTTCTTGAAAGGTAATTAAATAATGAAAACTAATTTTTCATAAACAATAACTATATTCTAGTTACAAACGAGTTATAACTCGTAAAGTTAAATCGTCAGAAATTCTATTTTGCCCCCCACATGAGAGTAAAATGGAAAGGTTAAAGGCAATTTGGAATGAATAATGTATAAATATATACTCTAGATTTGTAGTACATATTCACTATGAAAGCAAAATAGTCTTATTTCTTACGCAATCAAAGCAAAGAAATCTGATGTTTTTGTAATATTTTTGTATCAAATAAACACATAGCTTGTATATTTTATAACAAATATCGTTCGTAAATAACATTCAACTGCGTGTCTCTCTGTGTGCAGCACCTACGATAGATCACATACTTGTTATATTACAAGTTTCCATTTTGCCCACTCCTTCCATCTTGCCCTTTATCACTTTTTGACAAACATTGCTTAGGGAAGCCTAAGCAGTGTTTGTCAAAAAGTGATCAGAATATAGCGAGTGCTTTCTCGCCTCAAAAATTTTCTACCAGTTAATATTAAAACTATGCTTGTCTTGACCTTAATATTTCCTAATCCCTATAATCGCCTTTGGTGCTGTGTGTTACCTCGATCTGAATTCAGACCTACTAAATAATCTTGACTGAATTCTGAGTGGTAAGTGTAAGTTTTACGCTAACGCGTTCTCTAGTGAGCGCGTTAAGAATTTGTATGGAGATTTGTAGTTCTTGATAGTTACCGCTAGGGGCGCTGTACCGAATTCCATACTAAAATCATAACGCGCTCACGATCGACAGTGAACGTAAACGTCAAAAAAACTTACACTAAGACCTCTAGATAACTGCATTCGATTCGTTTTTAATCTAGGAATATATGATCATGTGTACGCATACCGATCTAGATCAAAATGGTTTACGGAACTCTTCAATTGCTTCTTCTTATCTCACGGCTCATTTTCAGTACTTATGTATCACTCGTACTAAAAATCTTCATTCCTCCTCTAATCGTCAACTCATGTGTCCATTTTGCTTCACCGATATCAACCACTCTACCTTTGTAAAATAAATTCTGTTATGGAATGAACTCCTACTGGACATCAAAATGTTCATCAATTTTTCATATGAGCAACTAGGAATATATCAGACGCAACCATTGAGATATTCATTACTTACTATGCAGTCATCGTCAGGCTTTTAATGTAACTGATTTGACACAAACCATCCCGATGGAATCAATTAAGATAACTTTTTAAATTTTCGCGTATTATTAGATAACATCACGCATATACATTGCTTAAATTTCAAGATAAGTAGCCTCGTATTATTTAAAGATCACACAGACCCGAAGTAATAAAGAAAAGTTAATTTTCTACATTAACCAGTTCTGGGAACTAGCACTAAGATGGTGAAGCCGCGAAACCGGCAGCTCTACATTATCCGCACGCGAATGAAAAATTGGTAGAAGTTAATTACTGCAGATGTAGCCGTTTCATTAATCTAAAGCACAGAGTGGCTTGATATAAATTGGTCATCTATCCTATGACCAGCCTTAGCTAAAGATGCTTAACATCCACGCTGCAGCCCAAACGTATTAACTATAGCACCACTACTACATACCTATACTACACTATATAACTACACGGTCGATTCATGCAAATATGTTGTCAAAATTTATTTATCGTTATACTACTAAAAATAAAAAGACTCGCTGTTTTCGGAAGAAATTTTATTAAAACAAGTGTCCACTTAAAGATTGTCTTTGCACTTTCTAAAACGTTCGCAGCACGAGCCGCTTGCTGTATTTATGTGCGTGCGTTAGGTAGGGTTGCAATATGACCGGGATTTCCGGGGATGTCCCGGAATTTTGTGTGTCGTCCCGTATCTAGTAATTTTACTTTGCTGTCGCGGAATAAAAAAGGACTAGTTTTTTTCACAAAGTATTCAAGCCAATAGTTCAACCTTAAGAAGTTATTTACAAAGGTTTAATTTTCTTTTTTTGTATTTAACAGATTAAGAAGGTAATTAAAAAGAGTTTTTAAAAAAAAGGATTTTTACCAATAGTTCTACATAAGTCTTATTTTAGTCTCAGACCGGACATCAAATCTGTCATTTCGTCCGTAACCCCAGAAATGTCCTGAAAATGATCAACCTGACAACCCTAGCGTTAGGGTCTGCTTTTTAAATCTCAGAGACTAACAGTCAGTTCCACAAATAAATGACGCCTTTAAGCTCTAATGGAAAATCATTCCGTATTCACATGCCGTCAAACCTCTAGGTGCCGTATATTGAAGAAAAAACATCATTCACTATTTATTACATTATAGTGTCCCAAAATCAACGGAAAGCAATATTGTGGATTCATCTGATGACAAAAGTGCCATTGTGGTAGCTACTACTTATTCGTCTAGTACATAGGTTCCCAAACAATTTTTACCAAATTCCCAAATTCGTCAAAAATGTGAAGATCTAACGATGGAAATTGGCGTTGCGGGTGAGTTCCAACCCTAAATTCGGAGTAGTAAAAATAAATAAAAAATAAAAAAAAAATATATTATCTTGCGATCAATTTTTTGAAATAATAATGATTAATAGAATTAAAATGAAACACTAATGTCGTTACGTAAATTCAACAATGCAAATCAATAATAAAAAAATACCCATAATTATTAATGGGAGGGATGTACTTGATAGATAGGCAGCAAATTATCAATATTTGGCTTCAATTTTGTAAGGATTAACCACAAATCTGCCTGTTCTGTAACGTTTAATCTGCTCCTTTTTTGTTAATAGTTTTGTAACGACACTTAAACTTTTTTCGACTAGGGAAACGCAA